AACCATTATACCCTGATTTCCCATTTTCAATGGGTTCAGGGTATAAAAAAATAGAAATTCTTTAAAATACAGATGTCTCATTTGAAATTGGCAGACTTTTAATCTGAAGGTGTAGAAGATATATACAGACAGACGGACAGGACAAATCGACTCAGCTCGTCGCTCTGATTAATAATATACATATATACTTTGTGGGGTCAGCCTCCTTCTGACTGTTACATAGTTTTAACAAAATCATTATACCCTGATTTCCCATTTAAAATGGGTTCAGGGTATAAATTAATAAATAATTTTAGCTTTTAGGCAATTTTTACTACAAAAAAATTTACAATTTTTTAAAAATCCAACTCTTGTTCTAGATAATATAATATTATAATAGTTGTTATCGATTTTTTAAGAAAAAAAGCTCAAGTCTCTAGCTCTTATGTTTTCTGAGATTGACGGGTTGATACTTACGGACAGATGGACGGACAGACAGACGGACAGCGCTAAATCAACTCAGCTCGTCGGCCTGATATATAATATATATAGATCTATCTCCTTCTGACTGTTATATAATTAATAAAAAACAACAATTTGCCTTGATTTCCCATTGAAAACGGGTTCAGGATATAAATAGTATATAAAGCGAGTTAAATTTAATTTTTAAGCAATTGTTATTACATAAAAAATTTACAACTCACGTTCTGGAAATATGTAAACGCGGCTTATATGAGAAAGTATGCTTTCATATTCAATATCATCGTCGTTAATTGTAAAGTCAGTGACCTTTTGCTTTGACGTTTGTGCCCTTTGATCAATTTCAATATTATAGATATAATGAAAATTTTTAAAATTATTGGGATCGTCACCCTGCATTTCCAAAGACGTATTTCTATTGGATGCCTCATATTTATAATTATTATTAGAGCTCTGTTCAATGTTTTGTGTAACATTCACAGAGTCTGTCACAGTATCTTCATGCATAGACAGAGCTGATTCAGGCTTATTTAGGGCAGAAGTAGCAGCACCATTTGGTTTACTCTTATGACCCCACATCGAGTTAAAAAGCGAGGAATTATAGTTTTTATAAAAATTCTCCAATATGTTCTGCGGTACATTTATTGGTTTGGTTATATTGGGTAATTTCTTTAAGTTCAGTCGCATCAAAATATGCATCTTAATCGATTCCAAGCTATCCTGTTTCGCTTTCTCCCTCAGCTGACGTTGCAGCACAGAATCTCCACTAATCAAACTATTTCTGTTTACGCTAAATCCTTGTACGCTGGCTGGCTTCTGACCTAGTTGCTGATTCGGCAGCCCCTGGTTCTGGCTTTGGCTATGTACTTTTAGTAAAGGAGTGTGAATAGCAGTTGTATGTGTTTGATTTCGATGGCTTTCTGTGTTATTTGATCTATGCAATTTGTCTGTGTCTCTCGTTACTTCCTGGGCAGATGCTAAAATAACGATTGATAATAAAATCGATATTAAAATTTTAGTCGCATATCGGGTGATTACGAATCGAAACTGCCAGCTCGTATTGTTCCTCATAATCATCATCATCTGTTGTCGTTTCTTAGCGCTGTGGCATTGGCAAGACCGTTTTAAAGACATATTAATAAAGAAATTTGTGCAGTCGGAATCGTATACGGAATCAAAATCACAATCTGATTCATCAATAGTAGTTAAACGCTCAATTGTTTTTCCATTTCGTGCTTCAGCTCTTCGATCTTCGGGTAACCTTGTAGTTTTCTTTACTGACGTCATGACTTAATTTTCGTTTCCAAGTTTAAATTCTGGAGTATTGGCCTTAAAAAAGAAAAAAGTGACTCGATTGTATATAAATCCTTTTGTAGTCTTTAGACTTATACAAATAAGAAGGCTCTAGTCGAAACTGAACGACAAGGAGATGCCCTGAGCCCTCAAAGCTGATATTTTAATCTGCGCTTCTTTTATACACACATACTCTGTTCTGCTAACTGCGCAGTAAGCAGCGACTGTGTTATGGGCTTCTGCCGTGTGGGCAATATTATGAGAATTTACTTGTTGAATAATTTCTCTTGTAGTAAGACTATCTTCATGAAGCTTTCAGAATGTGATGTTCTAGTACCTGAAATACGTTTTTTTTTTTGAGGTGAAGGAGCCGTGGTATCCAGTATCTGTAAATTACAAAATCGTTGTATTCATCAAATTTATATACACTAAATCTGATATTTAAATATTAATAAAAATACTTTAAAAAAAAGTGCTTAAATTGGAAAAAAAAAAATTAATTTATTTATAATATTTTCGATAAAAACAAAATAGGATAAGTTATCAAACAATATGATAAACTTTTACTGCGTATGGTATACACGAGTGTACATGGAAAATTTCAAGTCTCTACCTCTAATATGTTCAGAGATCTCGGCGTTCATACTGACGGACGAATGGACAGTGGACCATTATACCCTGATTTCCCATTTTAAATGGGTTCAGGATGTAAAAATACATTAGCTTTGTAGTAATCATCTGACTGTGAATGAATGTATATACTAAATCTTTGAAAACGAAAGCAGTTGTCGATAAAACGTTATTGTAAACACAACTTTAAGCTCAAAGCAAATAAGAAAGCTCGAGTCGAAAATGCTCAACTACGAAATTCCCTGAACCCTTCGAAGAATTGATATTTCACAAGTCTTTAGTATTGGAAATACGCCTTTTATAAAGATGAAGGGGGCTAATTACAAGAAACAAGTAAGAAGACTCTAGTCGAGACTACTCGACTAGGAGATAACTTGAACTCTTCAATCTGATATTCTACTCACTGTGCATTTCTTTTAGGCACACATACATACACACGCACGTATTAGAACGCGCTCTGC